ACAACGAACGAACTCAATAATACTCTCTGACTGCAGATCAATTACTCACTGTCTACACACCCATTACTCTGTCACGTTGTCACCCTCTTTTATATACCAGACTACCCTATATCTAGTAAATGCTAGAGCATTCGCCAAGGTACAGGACAGTTCTAGAAAGCAGAGGGCGTGAGAATAGTCACGTGATCTCGCTGACGCAACAGTACATTAACAGACATGACAAAAAGGACAGAAAAAAAAAGATTGTTGTTAAAGTGATGAGTTATCTTGCTTTGAAGGTGAAGATTCTTACTGTAAGATGTTTCTGCGAATCATAAGAGCGGTAAATGAACACAATTTTATCAAATATTAATTTTTTTTTAATAGATATAACCGGAATATGATAACTTGAAAGTTTCCCTACACTGACTGTTTTAGACAATGACCTTTCTTACATATAGTCTCAATAAGTCATTACAGTCAATGTCGCCATGTCTGGTCTCACTCTATCTGACAACCGTGTATCTTAAAAATATCCTTGAAACGTATTTTCCATTGCAAGAGACTCTATCGAAGAGCTGTCATGTCTAAAGCACACCACTTACACCAAAAGGCTTTCCATAATCCATCCTTTATAAGAAAACAACAATATCCAAGCACCATTTTCAGCTGTCAGATCACACAGAAATCGATAGGCACTGAGTTTGGTGACTTAACCAATATGTCTTCATAAGGAATAGCCTGAATACCCCTTTCGTTTTCTAGCTGCGTGAGGTATGCGACAGTAGAGTGAATATGTTGTGGAAGTAGCTTGTGCACATGTGACTTACGTCGTTTTTTCAGATTCCGGTCCATTTTGATTATGTTGCACAGTGTTCCCTAAGATGCATGTACAGCTTTTGCCTTTGTGCTCGTGGATTCTCACCTGTTACAAGATGCCGCACTTTGCTTGCCATGGATGGGGTACGACTAGTCACCGACCTCTTTCTGGATGGTCCTGGAATCCAAGGTGATCCACATTCCTTTGTTTTTTAATGCCTTTAATTGCAAGAGATATCCACGTTTTTAAAATTCTATATAAGATCTTTATGATATAAGAGTATGAATATTTGTATAGAAAAGGCTGTTATATACCTTCCCAAAAGCGATCTATTTTCGGTGGCATTAAAGTACCCATGTACCATTCAAAATATGTCAAAATGTAGTTCTGATAAATTCTTTCCAGTGCGATTTTAAATCGTCTATAGTTATCACGTGATTTGTTGA